TGATTAACACCTAGTAGGCACTGAATATATACTTGTTGAATGAATGCTGATGCTCAATAAATGTTTACTGAATGAATTAATAGCCAAGACAATTTCCTGAAACATGGAGCTTCAGTTAGTTAAACTATGTTAGTATTGATAGAATCGGATTCTGACATATTTAAAAATAGAAAAAATATATAAGTTTCATCTGCTTCCCGCAGAGTACAAGAACTCTAACAAGTTTCTGCTTGAAAAAGTCTAGCGGTAAGCATCCATTTTGTTAGAGGGCTTTTGTATTGAAAGAAAATCTGCCTTCATGCAGCTTTCGCCACTAGGTTATGGTTTGTCTGTTACACTAAACCTAATAAATTCAAGCACTATTTTATATACCATACTTAATAGCCATCTGATTCCTCAACAAAACTTACCTAAATTCCAAATTCTTGCTTTTAACTCTTTATCCTATGGTGTTTTTTTCTAGATCAAGTACTCCAGTTACAGTTTTCTCTAAAATAATTAATCTAGCACTGCACATAATATTCCAGATTATGGGGTAGGTACACGGTAGATTTTTATACTTACTGTGCTTCTATCAATTGCACTCTCTCTCCTCTCCTTTCCCTCCCTCCTTCCTTCCCTCCCTCCTTTTGTATTTTTCCCTTCATCCACAGTCATGTTAATTACTTTCATCTATATTGCATTTGTAATCTGAGAGGTGTGGTCATTAAAAATGCAAGCTCTGGGCATAGAACACATGGATTTGAGTCTTAGATTCAGCATTTATCAGCAAGATGATCTTCAGTGAGTTCCTAAAAATCACTGTGTCCCAGTTTTCTCATCTGTAAAATGGGGAGAATAACAGTTTCTAGGCTTTATTCTCCCTTTATGCTTGATTGGTCATTTGGCTAAGTATAACCTTCTAGGCTGAACATTTGTTTTTAGAATTTTGGAGACATTTCTCCCATAATCTTCTGGTATTGTTGATGAGAAATCTCATGGATCTCTAATTCTCTTTCCTTGATTGAGACCTCAGGGTGCTGAGTTCCATCAGCACCCTCTATCCTTAAAAGTTTAGACACCTCTGTTTATCTTCGGAGTTCTGAAGGCATATTGCCTTATTTTGACTACAAGATGTTTTCCTTTGATGATTGCCATAAATCTAGATCTCAGCAGTGAGTACAAGCTCCATATGGGTAATACTCATGCCTAGCTTGTTGCACTGTGTATAGCAGATAGCAGGCATTCAATAAATATTTGTTGAATAAAAGAATGAATGACCTATCCCAAATCCAAAAGATATTTAATAATGCCCAATAATTCAAGGACTTTACTGAACTTAAAACAACTTTAACCATGATAAATAATACTAGAATCACTGTGATTCCAAGAATATCTGTTATTATGTCTTTTCAGTTAAAATTTTAAGTACTACATAGTTTACACAAATTTTCTCTCTTGGTCTTGAAACAAGCTGGAAAGGTCGATGTCATTTCCACTTTTCACAAATGAGGACTTTCTGTCTCAAAGATTTGCCTGAAATCATTCTAGTGGGAAATGGTGGAGCTGAAACTAGAATTTACATCTAATGATCAAGTCCAGGATTCTCAATTGGTACCATGGGTATGTGCGAATTATTCTCCTGAGGCCTGTACATTCAATTCATGCCCACTCTTCCCCCTTCCCCCATGGCAGTCATTTATCATATTTTGATAATATCTCAAGAGACTTTTTTTTTTCAGTTTTCCACGCTGCTGGTCTCTTCTCTTTGGGACTCCACCTTCATTTTTATTTCCATAGACAAATTTTAATCACCTTTATATAAATATAAAATATTACATGGCTATTTAATGTGTGAATGAAAAGTCAAATATTTCCTTTTGTTGCTTAGCCAAAAGTATGTCTCACAGTATATAATGGAATAAAGTGGAAGGAGAGTATACCTGAAAGACCTATACACAGGAGATTTACCAACTATAGCATTTGCATCTTAGCTTCAAAATAATTTTGTCTCTCAGTCCTTCTTTGAATGTTTAATTATCTTGGACCATCATTACTCACTTATTTTGTCCTCAAGTTCGCATCAGTATTTTATTAGAAAATTAAACCAAAAATCTAAATGCCTAAAGAAAAATAATTCTTCCACTACCACTTCCACAAAATATATTACTGAAATTCTTTGAAAATAATATATTTTATAAAGCAAGTCTAATTGAATATTTTCATCTGGGCAACTGAATGCTAAATTGTATAATTATTGATTCATGAAATTGTTTCAAAAAATAAAAACAAGTTGTTTCACTTGAGCTTTCTCAAAATGTAACTTCTTAATCAAAGCTTATTGTAAATTATTTTTTATAACAGCTAAAATCTCAAAGCACGTTTTCAATTCTTTTTAAAAACCTAAATATAATTAGATTTTTCTACATTACAAATAAGTCAAATCAAGCTTAAGAGATTTTAACCAACTTGTCAAGATGCCATAGAGCCTCACGGAGAATGAAACACAGGAACCAAGACTATAGCTTTTAGTTACTACAATAGGATAGGTTTTCATAGTTCAGCAATATAAAAATCAACATAGTGTCTCTCTGTTATGCTCTTGATGGAAAATAATGAGGAAATAAGCTTTTGTCTCTGATTAGATATAAGAAAAAATGCTTCCAATTTGCTAAATCCCAAAATAGATGACTTTGAAGATTTATTTTTGAAACCAGTGTAAAACATCAAAATTCTTACAAACAGAACTACTGTGGTTAGTTTTGAAAGGTCCCTCAAAAGAAGAAAAAGGAGAGAAGAAATTATGAATGTAAATGCTTTATGCATGTTGGCCTAAATTATCTCCAACTAAATATTAAAAGGAGGAAAAGTTCACCACAACTGTAGCTACTTTAAAAACTGAAGACAAAAACTCTCATAAATGAGGCCTGAAGAGCTACTTATAACAGCAACATGTAGCTTTTTAAATATTTGATTATTCAGTAGCCAGAATAATCCAGATTATCTATAGTACTATGATAAAATGAATTATTTATCTATTTTAACTGCATAGCACCTCTCTCTCAGTCACTCATACATATGGTAAAAAAAGTTCATGGTACTCCCAATTAGAATTTCCCTCTTGAAAACTACTAAGAAAAGCCATTAAAGCAATCATTATTTAGTGTTTCATTTCAAATCTTAGACATATTGAATATGAAAACTTGAAAAAGTCACAAATGATCTGCTACTACCCTTCATTTCCTAGATGAAGAAACTGTGTTCAGAGAGGTTAAGGACTCTTGACACATAAAATCATGTCTCCAGACTGCCAGAGCCCACCTCTGTCCACCCTACCACACAAGTCTTTAATTCTGAGCAGCCTCAAGAGAGTTCTGGAGCCAATTACGATGATCATAATGTAAACGTCCTTATAAACAAAGGATGTTATTTAAAACAAAACATGTCTTTACAGAGTCAGTATGCCCCTTAGCAAGCAGCTTGCCTATTAGGTTGCAAGGGAAACTTGCACTTATAATGATAAAGGAGCATACAGGTTGTCATTTCAGAAAACCACTGGGTAAATCTGTTTTTACTTATGAGAACACAGATTCATTTGTAATATTATGAAGATGTATAAGAGGACTGGTATGTGTTCTACCAAAATATCTTCTATAAAATTTTATAATATATTTTAAAGAAATAAGACATTATGACACAACTTACATATAAGAAATAATTAATCAAGTAGTATATTTGAGCCCATGCAGAACATTTAGGTTTCTAAGGGAAAAGGGTAAATAAACTAAAACTGTAATACTTAAAAAAGCATTGAGCGTCAAATATTTTCTGGCAAATCTAATATGACTTAGCATACTTTAATCAAATCTCTATTTGCAGAGAGAGAATATAGTTTCCTATCTGCTGGTAATGGCAAAAATACTCACTCTAGCTAATACTAAAATTAATCATCATAATAATTCATTTTAGCAATGATGCAAGTACTCACAAAGGCATGTTTCCATCTGCATAGTGATTATATTTTACTCAAGTTCTAAGCAGCATCACATAATACAATAATACAATTTTAAATGTACACTTATATAAAACACAGTTACATGATATGAGTAGTATGTCAAGACCTTTACAGTGTCTATGTCTTAATAAATATTTTAACTCCATTCATCCACTATTTCTAAATCCAGGTACGATACCTGAGCATTTTATTTTTCTACTAGAATGATTTCAAAGTTTTATTGAAAAGTATTACAGCCCAAGCAGCTCAAGTCTTGTTTCTGTTAAATTGGAGGGTTGGGGCTGGTAATGTCTCTGTCTCTCTCTCTCTGTCTCTTGTCTCTCTCTCTCTGTCACACACACACACACACACACACAACCAGGATATTCATATCATCATACAATTTTTATTTACTTCTAAACAGCCAATGAAAATAAAAATCACTCAAAGCTGGCTCAATAAAATATACATGGTTATTTCTAACAAATATAACACATTTTCAACCCTGATAGATTTTTTAGCCATATTTGTAATCTTTCTTGATGTAAAACTTTGGTGTTTTCCAGAATAGCAAGGAAAAAAAAAAAAAAAGGATAAAGGAAAAGGCAATATTCGTATACAGAAAAGCATCCTACATACCATGGCATGCTGTGTAACAAGTTTCTAAAATAACTTTGTCTCTAAAATGCAGAATCATCTGGAAAGTTCATTAATAGCATTCATTCACTAAATTTGTAGCAAAATTATTTCTACTCCCCTTCCCCACTCCCGGTAACTGAACCTTCACTAGTTTGGACTTTGCTTCAAGTCAAAAACAACTGAACTAACCTTTATGCTTCGCACATAGGCTAATTTCATTCTATCTGAACATGAGTAGATCTAATCAGAAAATAAAATGATGGTAAAATACCGTCCAGGTGCCCAGGAAAACGCAAATTACTTAACTTAGAATGATTTTTAAAAGAATGAGAAAAGAAGGAAGGAGGTAGATACGAAAGAATAGTTTTAAGTCCTTGAATTTACTCACCAGTTTCCCAAATGCAGGGTCAGTAACAAGAACATCAGCCTCACCCCTCTACTTTGACTCCACAGAAGAAAAGGGGAGAAGAGAAAAGCTTTCCAAGAACCCATTGGGATCGCTTTTTCCGCTCAATTCTCCAAACCAGGACTTTTTCTCCCACCTCAGCTGCAGCCCGGTGAGTACGAGAAGGGAGAGTGTGGGAAGGCAGTACACCTCCCCACCAGGTAGGATGCGACTCCCAGCGGAATTGAGCAGGGGAGCCAATCAGACAGAGAGGGTGTTGGCATAAATTATCTGGAAAAGAGTTGGGCCAATCAACGGCCCAGAGAGGCGGGGCTTCCCCTACTAGAAATCGTGCCCAGTAGGGAAAAGGGCTCCGTCTTTCTACAAGAAAAACAAACCTCTTCTCCCTCGCAGCCACGGAGAAACGTTTGAGTGGCCTTGACAGATTCCTTTTCTAGGGAAAGGCGGCCTCCCTCTTTCCCCGGGCCTTCCTTCCTGCCTATGTTTGGGAGGCCACTGCCTCTTTCCTCTCCCGCGTTTAGAATCTGAATCTGTCTTCCAAGAGAGACCCCCGGGAAGCTTGCAGTGCCCAGTTAGTTTTCCCTAGGCTTGCGAAGGTTCTGCTAATTTTTGTTAATTATCACTAATTTTGAGTGTGGGGCGGTGTCTCATTTCTCTTTGCAGACCCAGCACCTGGCACAATGCCCGACACAAATGAGCTCTCAGGAGACGTTGAATGTATAACTGAATGAATGAATGAATGAGCGGGCTCGGTGCATTCCTGGTAATGTTTCCTCCCTTTCTGCTGTCTCTATGAGTGAGAGGATTTGTAGTCTCCTTTCTCCGGGCACCAGAAGATGATGCTGATGAATAATGTCAGGCAAGAACTATCTCATTTTACAAAAACATAAACAAAAATTCGATTTTAAAAAGGTCCTCTTGAGTTGTAAACCTATTACATGGGTAATCCTTGTTCTCTGCTCCTTTCCCAGTTGCCTTTGCGTTTGTTGAGCTCCAGTGTTTGGTACCTAACTTCAGAGGCTCTGCTTTGAGTTTGCAGCAGAGCCTAACAGTTGCCATGGCAACCAGAAAGCCTCTGGCAGCTTGAACAACTGTACAAGCGAAGACAGTGGTGGTAGTGGAAGCAGGCTCGCTCTGCCCAGCCATCATCCGCCTTCATGCCTTCCTATTGAAATCGCCGCTTCCCATCAAAGCTGCCTGGGCTTGGAGTCTTTGGCTGTCTCATTAATCACCTCACAACCACCTGGAATTGGCCAGATTCAGGGATGAACTGCAATTTACCACCTAGTTACTTGAGAGTATTTGTCTCCCAGCAAACAGTTCAAGGCAGAAGTAACAGTGTTTGTGCAAGACTGTAAGGTAACTGTTGCTACCCTACCTTCTGTAATCACTTACAGGAATTGGATGGGGGTAACAAGGTTACACGTATTTTCTTGCCCAGAATAACAGATGGTGCAGTGCTGGGCTTTTCTCCCCTCTCTGTGATTGATTCTCCAGCTTTTTAGTCTCTGAAAAAATGTATTGACCTCCTTGCTTTCCTTCTCCTACTACACATTAATTAGGCACCATTATTCTCTTCCACAAAGCATGTTAGTTAAGGTAGCTCATATCAAATAATTTATATAACAATAAAATTTCATTAGAATAGATTTTGAGGCGAATAAATTTAGTTAAAAGTTGATGTCAATATAAATCCGGGTTTTTTTTTTTTTCTGCTTCAATTAAGAATGTGCCTTGGATAGCTATTTAACTGTTTCATTGGGTGCACACACTAATTCACTGATCTGATTAGCCAGTGAACTAGGAATTAATTCACTAGAAGTATGTAATGAATAACAAATAGTTGTCTAGTTACTCTTGGCGTTTTGCTAAGATTAGGTAAGATTTTTGCATATATTAATGGGAATATGATACTGCACAGTGTTATACAATAGTAGTTGATAGTTCTCTCATCAAAAATTCTTAACCAGGTTTTACTCTCATTGTTCTTATATATAACTGAAAGATGCTGAGAGCAGTTAAGAGAAATTAATGGAGAGGAAAGGTGAAGGATATACCCTTGGGTAGTTACATGTTGCTTGCTTATTCTTGTGAAAGATAAAGAGCTGGGGTTATTTCCAGACTAGGAAATTCCTATATTTTCCAAAATCTAGGTTTTTGCCAATTTTGTGCTGAAACATTTTCAAATTTATTTCATTCCTTTCTTTCAAGTGATTATATCTGACTTTATTTCTACGTCTCTTCCTTTAATTATTTTTTCTTTTTTATAGTATATATCTTCTGGGAAAGTGATCCTATTCTGCTGTCATAGTTAATTATAATTCCCTCTAAACTGTGTAAAAGGGATCTGAGCCCTCCCCTCTGGAACCTGAAGAAGAAATGATGATATTGGATATCAGCCATGTCTTAACCCTGATAGTCTGTTTCATTTGATTTAATAAACCAGCTCTGTGTGTGTGTGTGTGTGTGTGTGTGTGTGTGTGTGTGTATGTAGTGGGAGAGGGGGATATCACATATTGTGAGTTCTGGGAAAAGCAAAGAAGGTACACTGTACTCATCAAACAAACCACAATGTCTCACAGAGGAGCACTCATGGGGAAACGGATCAAGTGTCTTACACAATTCTAGATCAGAAGGCCAGAAGTTGCTATAAGGAAGGGACTGGAGAAAGCTCTCTGTCTTTCATTATGGCAGTGGTTTCCAGCTCAACGACATTCAACCCCATGGGACATTTATCAGTGTCTGGAGATATTTTCAGTTGTCACAACTTGGAGGGTGGGGTGAGCTACTGGCATCTAGTGGGTAGAGTCCAGAGTTACTGCTACACATTTCAAAATGCAAAAGAAAGCCATCCCACAACAAAGAATTATAGAACTCAAAGTGTCTATAGTGCCAAGGTTAAGAAGCCCTGCAATATGGATGAAGAGGATAGGTGGCCAGATTCTATCGCAGCTGATGAGTTCTTTATATTGTTGTTGAAGTCATCATTCCCTTCCTCCTTCCTTTGACAGCTGAGCCACTACCATTATCCACTAGTCTTATGTGTAGCTGTGATGACTATCAAACCATAGTGCACAGCAATTTTCTTTTTTTCAAAATTTGTCCAGGTATCACCTTAAAATAAAATACTTGGAGTACCTTTAAAAATGCAGATTCATGGGCTTCTCTCCAGACCTAATGAATGAGAATTTTTAGCAAGAACTTCTGGACAGTCTCATGCATCAAAAAGTTTGAGAACCCTTGTCCTATAATCATCTCACGCAATGCTCAGTGACAGTGACCTGATTAAGTGTGTGCAACCCTGGCCCTAGCAAAGCCGGGTTTCGGTATGATTCACCTGTCCAGTATTAATTTATTCCTTCAAAATATTTATTAAGAAACTGTGATGTCAGACGCTGTGACTGGCATAAGAATACAATGGTGAACAAATCTTACCACTTTTGTGCCTTGGTTTCCTCATCTATCAAAAGAAAATAAGAATTCTACTTAGTTTATAGAGTTGTTTTAAGGATTAAATGGATTAATACATGGGGATCGCTTAAAACAGTATGTAGGTGATATAAATTACTCAAAAAATATGAGTTGTAATTTTTGTTAGCTCATTGACAGCATGTTTTAAATCTGATTCACTCCAGCCCTTAGAATGGTACCTGGCACAGAGTAGTAATTTCTAGAATACACAGTCTAACAGGGAGGATAGAGAAGATTAAGGAACACTGATGTTCTCACCCCACCATCGACATTATCCTGATACTCGGCTTCTCCAGAGCAAGAAGCCATTTGAGTCATGTTCTAGTTCTCCTGATGCACTTTTCCTCTCATGGCCACAAACTCTGCAACTGCCGGTTCCTAAACTTATCCCTCAAGATCATACTTATTTGTCTTGTCATATGTTATTCCTTCAGTTTAGGCGGCCCTTCCTTCTTCATCTGCCTAGTCTCTCCTCATTCTTCCTGATTAAGTTTAGGGGTCATTTTTTTCCCCAAGAAGAATTTATTGATTGTTCACTGCATGCTAATCTGGGGTACAGGTCTGTCCTATAACAATAGCTAACATTGATTGAGTGCTCACTCTGTGCCACCAGGTATTATGCTTAATGGTTCTACATTATAAGTGCATATAATCCTCTCTCCACTTAAAGCAACCACTTCATACTTGTATTATAGAACATAACACATATTTGGAAATTATCTGTATGTCTACCGAAACTGTCAGTTCTCTGTTTTTAAATTTTATATACTAAAGATTTATAGTGCTTATCAGACCTGGTATTATATTATGTGTGTATTTAATATTATTATAGTATATAGATATTGTATATTATGAGTATATTTGATTAGTACTTTTCTCTCCCTAGAATGTAGCTCCATGAAGGCAAAGATCTCATTTGTTTTCATCACCCCTTTTGTCCAAAGCAGTGGCTAGCAAGTAATAGGCACTCAATAAATATCTGCAGAATGATTGAGTGTTCAATGTATAATTGAATGAATAACACATGAATGGCTTTAATTCTTTCATATATTTCTGGAGCCATTCAGGGATCTCCTTCAACAGCATAAGTCTCAAGTGCTCATCTCTAAACAGACAAAATCCAGATCTAGTTGCTTGACTTGTTCCTTCCCATCAGACTATGGGAATTAATTATTTTTCCTCTTTACAGGTCACCATGATCAAAATGAACAAACCCAGGCACCTTAGCTTATGCAATCAGATTGTTATCTAAATCTAACAGAAGAGAGGGCCAGCACAAAAAGATTTCAAAAGACTGAAGGTGCACACCCTTTCTTTGTCAATCTGTTCAGTCTCCTTAATCCTGTGTCTGGTCTCTAGAGTGCAGCCAAGAGAGGGAGTCCAGAAGCTGGTCCTTGGTGGTAAGCAGGAATGGATCTACAGCTTCTAACACTAAGTCCATCCCATATTTTTGTTTGTTTATTTATTGTAATTTCTGAATCTGACCTTTTGCCACTGGTTATCTCCACTTTCTTGTATCTTCCATATTTTCCTTTCTATCTAATTTCCCCACCAATGTGCAAATATGCTCATATATATCATTAAAATATACATACATAGTGTATTAACCTCGTTAGCCCTCATCTTCTATGCCTATCACTTACTCCCATTAATAGCCATCCTTCTGTGCTTCTTCACCACACATTCGCTTACCAAATTCTGTGGTCTTGCTTCTGCC